AACTTTAATCTCTTTATATAATGACTTTATTCTCGTAAACTTTAATCTCTTTATATTACAACTTTATTCTTGTAGACTTAAATCCCTATATTATCACTTTATTCTTGTAAACTTTAATCTTTTAATATTACAACTTTATTCTTGTAGACTTAAATCCCTATATTATCACTTTATTCTTGTAAACTTTAATCTTTTAATATTACAACTTTATTCTTGTATTTTTAAGACTTTAGTGTTGCAATATTACAACTTTATTCTTGTAAACTTTAATCTCTTAATATTACCACTTTATTCTTGTATTTTTAAGACTTTAGTGTTGCAATATTACCACTTTATTCTTGTAAACTTTAATCTCTTAATATTACCACTTTATTCTTGTATTTTTAAGACTTTAATGTTTTAATATTATTACTTTATTCTCATAATAAAAATATATAATAATCTTGTTGTGTGGCCCTAATACTCCATCATAATTACACACTTTGATATTTATAAAGCAAAATAACATATTTCTGACCTTTCACCAGACAAATTTACACTCAAGCCTGTCACGATCACAAAGTTTGCTGGGCGATAAATTATCGCAGAAATTATCACGATAAACGATAATTTTAAACTAATATAATGAAACTCTCATGTTACAGAGGTTGGACACCACGCACATGGCAAACACCTGAGAGTTCACGTCTCCCTATGCTGAGAAGTAGAAAAGAGAACGAAAACAAACGAGCAAAATTATTAACCTTATTTTAATTTATCATGTGATTAATTGATTTATTATCGGGACGGGCCTTTTTACACTGATAAACCAGAGGAAACAAGTTACTTGACAAACAGCAGCCTTGTGTTATCACTGTTCTTAATGCTGTAGTTTGTTTCTGTTGACATGATGTTTATTGTTTCTCTCTCCAGGCATTGGTTATGCCTCCATTGTGATTGTGTCCCTCCTGAATATCTACTACATCATCATCCTGGCCTGGGGTGTCTACTACCTGTTCCAGGTGTGGAAATAAAACAGTGGTTGTTGTATAAATAAAACAAAATGTCTTTTATTTTTTTCATTTTTAGTCAGTTTTGTATTTTATTATCAGCATTCAAGGGCAATTTTAAAAAAAGCAATATAAAACTGAGACGCTTGTTTTATTGGTACTCTGGTTTATTCCAGACCAAAAACATGCACATCAGATTAATTGGTGAAATTATCTCTAAGTGAGACTAAACGGTTGTCTCCATGTGTCCCTGTGATAACACCTGGTCATTGTAAGTAAGTAAGAAAAGTTTTATTTATAAAGCGCCCTTTCACAGAAATACTGTATATTCACAAGGTGCTGTACAATCATTAACAATGTAAAAAAAAAACTGGTGGAGAGATAAAATAAAACAGAATAAAACATAATAAAACATAAGCAATTTAATGAAACATCAAATCAAGTTTAAATTATAAAATAAAAAAGATAAAAAAGTGGTTTTTTAGTTGATTCTTGAAGGAGACGGTGTTATCGAGGGAGCGCAGATTAACAGGGAGTTCATTCCAGAGCCTGGGGGCCACAGAGAAGAAGGACCGGTCACCACGGGTCTTAAAGTGAGTGAGGGGAACCATAAGGAGATGTAGATCCTGTGAGCGGAGGTCCTGTCTGGGGTTGTAAGGGGAAATGAGACATTTAATGTATTCAGGGCCTTGTGGACAGTGTGATCCAGAAAGGAAAAGCTGATAACAAACATGCATGGAGTCGTAAGAAGATTCATTTAAACTCAATATTAAAAATGTGTTTAAACAGAGATGAAAGTGTTAGAATGGACTGTAGTTTATTGCACAACTTGAAACTCTCTTGTTTTCATTCTTCAGTGTTTCCAGCCGGAGCTGCCCTGGGCCAAGTGCAACCAGCCGTGGAACACCGAACACTGCATCGAGGACACCTATCGCAAGAACAGAACCTTCTGGATTGCCGCCAACGCCTCCAACTTCACCTCCCCCGTCACCGAATTCTGGGAGTAAGTTACATAAAAACGCACACACACACCTGCTCACACTTACATAACTACACCCAACACGCATGTCGTTTTGTCATGGGAGGGGTTCGGCCTCGTTTGTGAGCTCAGATGAACACAGAGTTTTGTTTTTTCTTGCAGACATAATGTGCTGGGTATCACCAGTGGCATTGAGGAGATGGGTCCTATTAAATGGGACCTGGCTCTGTGTTTGCTGCTCGTCTGGGTCATCTGCTTCTTTTGCATCTGGAAGGGAGTGAAGTCCACTGGAAAGGTAAGCATGTGCTCGTGCTCTTCTTTGTTTTTTGTCTTATATGGTAGCAAGATTTTTGTCCCGTCATCAACTTGCTGAAGCTGAATAAAAGACCTGAACTCAATAGTTTGTTTCAACCAAACAACAGAAAGCTCATAGGAGTTCAGTACTTCCTGTTTGATGAGGAGATGAGGAGATGTTCAACCTTCTCTTCTTGTTTTTGTGTACACGTCTGTCTGGTTTAATAAGATGCCTGATGACACTAACTGTGTTTCCATCAAGGCTTTTTGATGCGCATTTAGAAGTGTTGCATTAAAAATGCGAAAAAAGTCTAATGGAAACAGCAAAATTTGAAAAAAAAAAAATCCTCAATTCGCTAAAAAGGTTTTACGCTCACTTGAGGTGGTTTTTGGATGATTCACAAAGTAATGCGCAAAACGGGGGATGGAAACACGTTTGCTGAATAAATTCTGACGTAGCGCATATTTACCTCACGTGACGTTCAGCTGTTTCCGCTTTCCTGCCCCGTTCCAGATGTTATCATAAACGCGCAAAAACATGGCTGCGAACAACAACAACAACAACAGGTACGTGTGGACTGACGAAGAGACGAGAACATTTCTCTCTTTAGTTTGCGAAAGAAACGTTAAATTAGCCATTAAGCCGTTAAATCGCTCCATTGTCCCGAGATGATTAGCTTCTGCTAGTTAGCAAGTTTCACTTCCTGTTTGCTGCCGCAAAGCTTGTCGCAGACGTCTTACGTAATCACGCGTTGCGTAGCCTCATCTGACGTAATCACATGTTGCGTAGCCTCATCTGACATAATCACATGTTGCGTAGGCTCGTCTGACATAATCATGCATTGCGTAGCCTCATCTGACGTAATCACGTGTTGCGTAGCCTCATCTGATGTAATCACGCGCTGCGTAGCCTCATCTGACATAATCATGCGTTTCTTAGCCTCGTCTGACGTAATCACGCGTTGCGTAGCCTCGTCTGACGTAATCACGTGTTGCGTAGCCTCGTCTGACGTAATCATACGTTGCGTAGCCTCGTTTATTCGCATCAAACAGTCAAGAGGGAAACTAGATGGAAACAGTCTAGATTTGAATTTTTATTTATTTAATTTTTTGCGAATTTTGAAAAGTTCGATAAAAATTCACTCTACAACTGGATGGAAACACAATTACTGATTTACACTAATTTTCTCTAAAACTCACTTGAATAATAAGAACTTTTGCTGAAGCCTTCACTGTGTACTGACCAAAGCTCCCAAGAAAAGACTCCTACTATCTCCGATTAGTTTTGCAGTATTTGACTGTGCCTGCAGGAGCCTTTTATTGGTGTGAATCACATTTCTACAGTGGGATTGAGGATTAGGCCTTTTATAGTCTTGTCTTCAGACAGGACTGCAAGATAGATTGGATCACATTTACAAGGCACGTGCATCTTTTGTAAAATGAAAAATTTTACTTTAGTTACCTAAAAGATGTGTTCAGTCATGCTACTGCACTTTGTCCTGAATTTGAAAGGTTGTCATGCACTGCTTTAAACGTTTAAAGTGCTGTAAATTCAGGAGAGGACTACAACCTTTGTTAAATGCACGCAGGGAATATTTGAAGCCTGATTAAATTGCTGCTTTAGTAACAGCCAGATTTCCCCGAGTCCAAAGTCAATCAAGCAAAGGCTACTCCTTTGTTTACAACCTTTATCGATTGGTCTGCTCTGACATATGCTGTCTAGTTGTTCAGGGTTGTAATAAAATCACTCCTACAAGTGTGGTCACTGCTTTCCACAGAGCAGATCATGCCACCCTGTTATTGATTTAAGGGACTGCCTGCGGTCTGCTGCTGACCTCATCCTCATCAGTGGTTAATGTTCTGAAAACAATATACCGCATGCAGTAGCATATATGTCCCCCGCACATACATAAAGCACCAACGCCTGGTCTGGAGGGGGTGAGGGGGGCTCATTGGTGGGCCTGATAGATAGCCCTACATCAGAGCTAAACTACAAACAATTCTGAAGCTCCTGTGTTGACTAGTTTTCGAGTTATAAGTATTTTTGTATGTTTAGACAGTCCCCTTTTCAGATGGGGTCCCCTCCTCAAATATGGGGTCTATCATGAAACTGTTGGCTGGCGCAGTGTAGGTCAGACACATCTACTTTACTAACAAATTTTATGCTGCTTGGTGGATCCCAAAATTTTATTGTTTGGGTGGGGGTCCGGAGGGGGGGTGGGTGGACTCATTGGTGGGCCCGATGGATAGCCCTTCACCAGAGATAAACAACAAAAAATCTGAAGCTCCTAAGTTGAATAGTTTTTGAGTTATAAACATTTGTATGTCCAGACACCCCCTTTCCAGATGGAGCCCCCTCCTCAAATATGGGGTCTGTTGTAAAACAGTTGGCTGGTGCAGTGCAAGTCGGATACATCTACATTCCTGCCAAACTTCACACTGATCGAAAAGGCCTTTTTGTGCTATGGTTGACCAAAAATCTCTGAAAATAAAAAATATATAAATAAATAAACAAAAAAACATGATGACTCCTGCATGCAAATGACAGTTTTACACATTTCTGAAAAGTCTTTACTTTGAAGCCAAAGATATTAACTATTAAAGCAAAAACATTGTGGTCATTTTGAACCTAAAGCAAAAAGTTGCAAGTTTTATACGTCACCCGGCTTTTCCCTCAGGTGGTTTACATCACGGCCACGTTCCCGTTTGTCATGCTCATCGTCCTGCTGATCCGCGGTGTGACTCTGCCAGGTGCTGCTGAGGGCATCAAGTTCTATCTGTATCCAGACCTCGAGCGCCTGAAGGACCCAGAGGTAGGTAACTCTCTTTGCTGCAGCCTCATCAACGACCTCCTTTAATAGACACTATTCCCTCCGCTGGTTTACGTAACTTGAAGTCTGTGCGTGCAGTGTGCTCAGCATGTCAGGTCCATCTGGCTGCTCATGAAATTTCTAAAATTAAAAAGGAAAATTAGAACTTGACAGTGCTGCACAAAGACTGCAGTAGCATTAAAAAGTGTCCAGTTTCTGTAAATTCTATAAGTTCTTTTTAACAATAAAAGGCTGATGAGCTCCGAAATCAAGGGGCTTAATATGGCACAGTATGAGGGCCAAAATTAAGACTATTGCACAATCAGTGGTTGCTAAATCCATGTAGCAGGAGGCTGTATCGATTCCTAATCCAGCTATTGATCTAATTAATGACAGGGCAGCACCACTAACTGAGAGGCCGGTGCTGCTAAATGAGAAGGAGACTATTCATTTGTGTTAGCATCAGAGAGGCTAGAGACTAGCATGGATAAGTTGGCGTTAGAAATTTGGCTAAAGAGACAAAAAAGGGACACCTGTCAGTGCATGGCGCTGACAGGTTTTTTAGGTCAACCGTTTTTGTTGAGAAAGTTTTCTTTATTCAGAAAAGTTTGTCTCTAATAAAGTAGGTGAGCAGCAGGTGAGCAGCCTAGGCATGCTAGTCGCAACCCTCTCCAATGCTAACACCAGCTTTTCCATGCTATTTGCTAGCCTCTCCGAAGCTAACGCCAGCTTATCCATGCTAGTCGCTACCCCTTCAATGCTAAAACCAGCTTATCCATGCTATTCACTAGCTTCTCCAATGCTAGCAACAATTTGTCTTAACTTTGGCCCTCATACCGCGCCATACCTTAGAGGCACAGCTGCTGCACAACAGAGAGGGACTCAAGTCTATCGTTTCTAAAGTGAAATACATAGATTTCCTACCTTGCATGTCCCTCATCAGCGGGCCTCAGCCTCTCCCGCTTTTTTACAGGTGTGGATTGATGCCGGCACTCAGATCTTCTTTTCCTACGCCATTTGTTTGGGCGCCATGACATCCTTGGGGAGCTACAACAAATACAAATACAACTGCTACAGGTGAGGTGTCAGTTTGTAGGGACGGGGGTTAGCGGTAGGGGAGTGCAGGGGGTAAAGGGGATCCTTGTGTGTTCATTAACAAATCCTCCTCATGACATATGTGTGACATAGGGACTGTTTGCTGCTGGGAGCCCTCAACAGTGGTACCAGTTTTGTGTCTGGCTTCGCAATATTTTCCGTCCTGGGCTTCATGGCACAAGAGCAAGGGGTGGACATTGCTGATGTGGCAGAGTCAGGTACGAGGGTTCTGTAAAGGCGGCAGTGATGGTGGGCGCTGCTTCCTGGTTAACCAATTAAAACAACAGTAATTACAAAAAGAAAAACAGCAACGAAACCCAAAAAGAGAATCAGCCTCTACATCCAATCATTTCGAACTGTACGGATTCTTAGATCAAACTCAAATGACGGCATCGGAATATGGAAGCTTCCGCAATCAAACACTCCTTGACAAATACAGAGGATGAGAAAATGTGGACATATTTGGTTGACCTGTTGGCGCTCATTTAATTAAATCAAATTTGCGCCAAATGGCTAGCATTAGAAATCTGAGAGTGCTATACACAATTGAGACGATTTTTGCAGAAGAAGTTGTGTGGTGGTTTATCGTGCGACTTGTGCCAATGTGATGACTTCAACAGGCTGTCAGAGATTTACTTCTGGGTTGTTTGGTTTTTAATCTACCTGGGAAACTGGTGCAACTATTGTTGTGGTTTCTATCAATCTGAGGAGCATTTATGGTTCTGTTTGTCAAGCTTGGTAAGACTAGCATCTCTGTTGCTTTTGTGCAGCCGTAAGTACCAGCATGTATGAGCTTGCTCTGTTTATTTTCTCATTAAAAGCCAACATGAGCCCAGTCTACTGGGGATCGCAGGTTTGGTCTTTCTGACAGAATTGCACAAGGATTTCATTCGTGCTTGTTTTAAAAATTCAGAGTAAAACGTTTGTGCTTGCTCTGACTGGGTAAATCAATGTTACATGAAATACAAGAGTTAAAACACCAATGGAAGTGGAAGAGTACTTTCTAAGAGCTACACTTGGAAATTGGAAAAAACTGTCTCCCATCTTCGCAATGAAACTCGACCAAAGTCAGACTTCATGCTCTGTTTGGTTTCAGCAAAGATATAAACCAAGCTCTTCTTGGCATCAAGACTTTGTGTGAATCCAAAGATTTATTAATGTCCTGAGATAATCTGATTACTCTGGAGCAAATGTCACTTAGTTCATGCTGCCAGCCCAGTCAATACAAACGTTGCACAGTTCTGTACAACCTCGGTGCTGGGGTTTGTAGAATTGTCCAATGTCAGTGTTGTTTGGTGAGTGGGCTGGTGATCTGTGGGAAACTAAACATTGGTCAGAAGAGCAGATAGATCACAGGAAACTCAGTTTCTAATGTTGTGAAGGTTTTCAGCCAGAGGATGTGCCCTGATGTTGTGACTGTACCAAGAGAGAAGGCTATTTAGGTTGTAAAATACAAAAATACTATTTATAAACTAGAAAAGCAGGTTATCAGACGTTCAGAATCATTACAATTATTCTTAAAGTAAGTCTGCATCAACTGAAACTTCTTGGTTTAATCTACAAAATAAAAGCATCCATGTGACAGAATACATGGAAGACTTTCAATGTTTTTATTGTCTTACGACAGCACAGCTTATAAAAGAAGCAAATGTTTCAGAGCATTTAGAATTTATTCAGCAGATCCCAAATGAAATAAAATCCTTCTGACTGGTAAAGACTGGAATTTGTTTTGATTTTTGAGTCAACGCGGTGTTTGGTTGGATGCCTTGTCATAATTTCCCTTTTAAAACTGGAACACATTGATTCATCTTACTGTCAGCTGCAACGCTGTTTTGGCTGCTTCCTTGTTCCCTGACTTCTGTTTTTACAGTTTTAAATGTAGCATCAGTGTCAAAAATAGACATCAGAAAAAGTAAATTGATAAAAAAAAGCCTTTTTTTTTGCTTTTCACTGTTTGCATCTGCTGCTGTTTTGAAACGGTCATTTTGCATTCCTCAAAGAAATGGTCTCCCCTTTTTCAGCCGGGCGTGCAAAATGGCTAAAGTGATGTATCCACTGCTAAACTGAATAAATTTTGCTTCACCATGACGTGCTTGGTTTATCTGTTTGGAAGCATTTGGAGTTGAGTCAGTTGAAAGTGAAGCAGTGTTGTTTTTGTTAACTCTACACATTCTCTTCATGCATTTATTCACAGAATGCTTTAATAATGACTTACTTCCACAGAGATGCAGTTACACAAATTATAAACAATTTATTTGTTTTTACTGAACTTGTGCTTTTCCTCGTTGTGATATTTGTACTGATCCACTGTATGAATATGAAACTGTCATGTGTTGAGTGTGTACAGTTAGTAGTGTGTCATAACGTGCTGCATGTAAGAGGTAAGTAATAATGTGACTTAGATCTATTTTCATGGCAAACCTTTATTTAAATACATATAAGATCAAATATATTTTTACTGTTAAAACCAATTATTTGATTATTTATTCACGATTTGCTCTGTGTCTCTACTTTGTGCGGGCGCATTTTTTGCCCCCCAGGGATGCAGATCAGAGGAAATTACCATGTGACACTAATGTTGCCCCTCCCCACACCCTTGTTTCTGCTCTCACCCCCACCCCTCCCCTCCCTGTTCCTCTGCAGGTCCAGGCCTGGCGTTCATTGCCTACCCCAAAGCCGTTACCATGATGCCTTTCCCTACAGTCTGGGCGATCCTCTTCTTCATCATGCTGCTGCTGCTTGGCCTCGACAGTCAGGTCGGCAGACAAACTGATGGGGGTGTGGGGTGGGGGGTGGTGGGCATTTTTACAAGTGTTTTATTCGTTGGCACCAGACCTGACTTCAGAAAGTTTTTAAACGACTGGCCAGGAGATTGGTCGACTGTTTATCTTGAGGTGGAACACCAAAAATAAGTCATAATTTCAGATTCAAATTCATTTCTCACCTCCTCCTTACAGGCACCCCTGGTTGCCAGATAAGAAAACATTTAAGAAAGCATTTAGGCAATTATTTGCTACGTTGGTTTATTTTGGATAGCCCTTCATCAGAGCTAAACAACAAAATAATTCTGAAGCTTCTCTGTTGAATAGTTTTTGAATTATAAACGTTTTTATAGGCCTAGTTACCCACTTTTCAGATGGAGCCCCTTCCTCAAATATGGGGTCTATTGTAAAACTGTTGGTGGGCACAGTGTAGGTCGGACACATCTACATTCCTGCCACATTTCACGTTGATCGGTGCAGCTGTTTCTTTGCTACGATTGACAAAAAATCTCAGAAAAAAATAAACAGTATGAAAACAAAATGGCTCCCTCGGTGCGGTGTGATAATTGTTTAGAGGTAGAATGTCTTCACAACTATTTGACTTTAACTTCTTTATAAAATGTGTTGATTCAGGGAAAAAAGCTTTTTAACTGAGTTAATGCATTCTTAAGCTTCAATTATAACCCATTACAAAAGGAGACTGTAAAAAACTGAAGTGAATAAAATCAAAAATCTGTTGGTTTGAACGTTGAGCACATCTCTGATCATGTCTGTGTTCTCTTGCAGTTTGTGGAGGTGGAAGGTCAGATCACATCACTGGTGGATCTGTATCCATCCTTCCTAAGGAAGGGTTACTGCAGAGAGGTTTTCATCGCTATCATTTGCTGCATCAGCTACCTTCTTGGACTCACTATGGTTACCAAGGTAAACAACCCAATGAAAATTAATCTAACATTGATGCTGTGACTTATTCAAACCAGCGACAAATTAAGCAATAATGAAACATTTGGAAAAAACGTCCTGATGCATGTCAGTAATCCAGGTAAAAACCAAAAAGAAAAGCATTGTATAGGTCCTCTGGACGGGTTCTTCTTTAATGAAACGTTTCGTCTCTTCTCCAAGAGACTTCTTCAGTCTGAGAGTTTCAGGCAAAATGACAGGAGTGACAATGTCAGGAGTGACAATGTCAGGAGTGACACTGGCAATAGCAGCACTGTAGGAGGGGGACAACTGAAAACGGAATTAAGTTCAAAAGAATGTCCCAACACAGACGAGCTACATCTAATGGCCAGAACTCTGCAGTTTTCACTCATTTACAGGCCAGCGGTCACTCTTTCAGAGATGAGGATGTTCTCATTCTTGATAGAGAGGAACGTTGGTTTGAGAGAGGAGTAAAAGAAGCCATTTTTGTGAAGAAAGACCGTCCATCATTAAACAGAGGTGGAGGCCTCCGTTTTCAGTTGTCCCCCTGCTACAGCGCGGCTATTGCCAGTATCACTCCACCCCCTGTTAACAATAGGTGTTAATTAGGTGTCAACAATAGCCATGTGATGTGAGTATCAGTCACATGGAGGCAGTGCTTAAAAGCCTGAATTTTGCCTGAAACTCTCAGACTGAAGAAGTCTCTTGGAGGAGAGACGAAACGTTTCATTAGAGAAGAACCCGTCCAGAAGACCTATACTATTTTTCTCTTTTTGATTTGGAAAAAACCTTCGTAACTTTTCCTCCATTATAAAAACAGAACCGTTTGATCTCGTCCTTTCAGGCAGCAGCACATGTTCAGACTCTTTTTAGTGTAAATCCCATGAGAGATGGTGCGGGCTGGGGGGTTCTCATGACTTTTAGTGGCAAGTCATGAGAACTTCCTTTCCAGTAGTCTTTGGTATTTTTAGTTACAAACTTAACTTAGAATTTTCCAAACTCTTCTTGAAAATCTAAATTTGGCTTTCCCTCCTCCTCCTGTCATATTTTTCACAGTTTGCTCTTTATTTTCTCTGGCTGTGGGTCTAATCCGTGGACAAAAAGGCTGGTACCCTTTGGTTAATGAATGGTCACAGAAATAACTTGAATCTGGCAAAAGTAATAAGAAATAAAAACTCTATAAAAATGAACAAAATGCTTTTCAGCCAGTCTTCATCAGATTAAAAACAATCAAACTCATGAAATAGGCCTGGATAAAAATGGTTCCCGTGAAAATAATGTCACCAAAGAGTCATGCTAAATCAAGGTGTGTCCACTAATTAGCATCACAGGTGTCAATCTTATAATCAGTTGGTAGGCCTGTATATAGAGCTACAAAAGTAAAACTCCTGTCAAATAATCACAAGACATGATTATGACAAACATTTTTTTATATTGTAACCTGCCCATAACAATTATTTGAACAAATACAACGATCAGTCAACAGACCACTCAGGCTTATCAACACATAAACAATAACAAAGATACAAAATTTAATAAATAAAACTGTGGGCATAAAAATAAATAAATTAAAAATGTTTAAATGTTTCAAATACAAAAAAACCCTGTAAAGATAGATTTGATAAAACACAAATGAAAATAAAGCCTTTTTAAACTTTTACATGGTAGAACCAGAAGCTGCTCTTCATATTAGTGACAAACAACAGAAACAACAGCTCTTAGACAAGTTTAAAGTTTCTTTAAAATAAATTCAAAATGTTTAAAAATAAACTACAAATATAATTTGATAAAGTGCAAATTAAAATACAGCTGTATCTGCAACTGTATTTGATAATGTTTGAACTTTTAAAATACTACATGATAGAACCAGAAGCTGCTCTTCATATTAGTGACAAACTTTTTTGATGAGTTACTTTCATTTTTGCTTCTGCTTTTCATTTAAAATAAGTTTCCATTCTCGGCAGGTTTCTAAGGTTCTTCTTCTACATATTAAAAAGGTTGTTAAACAACTGAGTGGTGCACTACTGCTACTAGTGGTGAGAAAGTGTATTACACCTTATTCATAATCAATGCGGTCCCGCGGCCCAAAGTTAAAAACTGTTGTTCTTTTGAGGCCCTTAAGGTGGCGCTCGCGGCCCACAATTGGGCCACGGCCCATAAGTTAAGAATATCTGTTTTAGAGACCACTAAGCTTTCAACCATCTCCCACTTCAAAGCTAAAGTAATTCAGTATCTTTATGTCAACACTTGCTCTGTGCTAATGGATGGATCCCAGCAGGTCTCAGGTGGTCTGTGGCTCTGCATAGACCACTCTAACAGAGCAATACGTTAGGTTTTTGCACCTGAGCGATGCACGACTCGGCACCAGGTGTCAGGTTTTTAAATGCAAGCATGGTTAGGTCTGTGACGTATAAAAGCACAAACCAGCTACTCGTGGCTCCACTGTCTGCTCCGCTTCGTTTTTATCCCCTCTGTCTTCTCGCCCTGTTGTTCCCATGACAACATCTTTTTATGGATGCGGTGGCCTGATTCAACTTTAGGATTTCCATAATTGGGAAGCGTTTCCACGTTGGACTCACACGGGAGGATGTGAGGGCATAAAGGCTTGAAATAGCCTTCTCCTGTATAAACATGTCAGCTGCCTGGTTTTATGAGTCGTTATTTTTTCTCCCCCTGAAGAATTAAAGTCACATTTTTAGCTCTGATTAAAGTCAAAAGCATTTTTCCTGCTCTGTAATTGTTGGGAGAGCTCACAGATACAGGTCAGTCTGTTTCAGATCCATCAAACCTGACGTGAAATGTCTCTCTGCAGGGTGGCATGTATGTTTTCCAGCTGTTTGACTACTATGCAGCGAGCGGTGTGTGCCTTCTGTGGGTGGCATTCTTTGAATGTATAGCTGTTGCCTGGGTTTATGGTGAGTATCGAACTAAGTAAACCAACTAAAGTCAACACTGTGTTGCTTTAAAGTGCCTGTGATGTCAAATTTTTTTGTAATAATACAAATGCATTTTGGAAAGTTAACACTGAGAACATACTACAAAATAATTTTCATGCTGCTGAGACGAACAGTCGTTGGGATATTTGCATGTGAAGTAACAGGAAGTGATGTCAAAGAGGAATGTCTGAATGAAAACAGAGCTGAGCTAAAATGCTCAACAGCCCAGACTGTGGAGAGGAATCTGATGTTTTAGATTATTTTGAGTCTCTAGCTGTGTTTCCACTGTAAACGTGCACAAAACTTTGTCGATATTCTGTTAATGTCGAAAAACAGTTTCACAGCTGCAGTATTTCTATTAAGTAATAAACGTTATTAAAGTCACG